ATCAACAGATGCACGCTATTTTCGGGAGCGAGGCCTGCCAGCAATAGGATTTTCTCCGATGGCAAACACTCCCATTCTTCTGCACGACCACAACGAGGTGAGCATTACTTAATATTGCTTATTTGGTGGTACATGTTAGTTTTGTATGTGCATACACACACAGTCTTCTGAACCTATTAAATATACTCTTAATATGAGAAAATCAAAAGAATAAGTTAAGAACTCCAAAAGAAAGGAAGCAGAGTGTAATGCTACAGCTATGGTTACTGTTTACCATGTCAGCTGTTTGATGAATATAAGCAAACACTTAGAGGAGGCTAAATTCTTGCTTGACTGTAGAAATGAGGTAAATTTGATTCGACTTGTAAATTGTGTTCACTTGTTTAAATAGTTTTGTTTTATGTGGTGGAAATCCTGACTTTGGCCTATGGTTAATATGCATTCTCTTTTGCTGCAGTTTTTGAACAAGGATGAGTATTTGAAAGGTATTGATGTTTATGAGTCAATAATCAAAACATATGCATCTTATATTCAGTATCAAAGAGATGATGCTTCGAGAGAGGAATTGTGAGCAAGTTGTATTGAAGCAACCTCGAGGTCGTCTTTGTCTTGTAGTATTGTATAAGTGAAGGCCGCAGAGCAGTTGGAAATCTCTCCAACATCTTTCTGCTGTACGAATAAACAACATGGATATTTCATAATCATTGAAGAACAGTGCCATTAATATGCAAGCAATGACGAGAAAAACATTGGGTAGGCAAACGCAATGTCAAAGCTTAGCCTGGGTTGGAAATGAATTAATGAATAGAAACTGAGAGGATATAGAAGAACAGTGCATTTATCAAAACGACTAAATATCAAGCTTGTTTTATTTTCTTCCAATATATATTCCGTGCAAATGTCATTAGTGCTAAGTGCTATATTTTTTAATATACATCGAGAGATGCAGCTATTGAAGTCTTAAGTTGCAATCAACCAGAAGTGTTGTTAAACTCATCATTTTGTGGGATGTAAAATGGGTTAAAGGGTGGATTCTTAAGGGAATTGTATATTTAAAATTCATTTGAATCTGGGCTCGTCATGTTTGTGCTAGAAGTAGAAGTATAATGAGAGGGATATAGGGTGTGTTTGGTATGAAGGAAAATGTTTTACTGGAAAACAAGTTGATTTTTGACTTATTTTCTCATGTTTGGTTGGTGAGTAGAAAATATTTTTCGGAAAAGATTTTTAGTGTTTGATTTATGAATGAAAAATATTTTTGAGAAATATCTTTTATTTTTACTTGAGTAGAAAATAATTTTTGAAATTAAAAATAATTTTTAAAAACAAACTTAAGGGGGTAGTGGGGTGAGGGGGGATCGAGGGTAGGGGTGAAAAATTGAAATTTTGAAGTTGAAATATTTTTTAAAAACTAA